AGGTAAGATCACCATTATAATGAACTTCCTAAAATTATATTAAACTCTGATACCACCTAATTCCCAGTTGGTTTCCAAAGCCAACTGCAATTGGAATCATTTCTCATTAATACTACAAAACCATAGCCCTGGCCATTGTGGCTCCGTTGGTTGAGTTGTTATCCCATGCACCAAAAGGTCGCCCATTTGATTCCTGGTCAGGGCGCGTGGGCTGTGGGATCAATCCCCTGTAAGGGGCATGCAGGAGGCAGATGATCAATGTTTCTCTCCCCCTCACTCTAAAAAAATCAATAAAAATATATATTTGAAAAAAGAACCATTTATTTCATATACACAAACTAACAAGGCTGCATTACTCGCAGAATTTTAAATTCATTTCAGTGTGGTTAACTGGGCTCCTACAATTAGGACTTGGAGAAATTCAGCGTGACATTAGGAAAAAGGGGGGAGACTGGAAAGTGTCAAATTGTCCTATAAAGAAGAAAGAAACCCCTCTCGGTGGAATATGGAGACTTGAGTATAAACATCAAGTAAGTCATGACAGAGGTTTGTACTTCTAACGTCTGGAGCCAGTTTATTCAGGTTGGAAGTCTAGCTCCACCCATTCATGCTTCTAACTCATGCAGCCTTTGGCAGGTGGCTTCCGTTCCCTAGGCCTCAGTTTTCTCTCTGCGTGGGAGAGACGTGGATAACAAAACACGCACTGCATAGGATTGTTGTGGGGATTAAATGAGATAATCCATGTAAAGCACTTAAAACGGTGCCTGGCACATCGCAGTGATTGCTGGCATGACCCTGATTCCAGTGGCTGCTGGAGACAGCTCTAGTTTGGTTTGAACTGGAAAGAGTGCCTCAAGCCCTGAGCAGCTGCAACCAGGGAGTTTTACCAGCACTTAGGCGAGAGAGAGCCTGTGCTTGAAGAAAGCAGGTTGTTGTTTTTTTACCTTTTTTAAAAATCAGTTTGCACTCAATATTATTTTGTATTAGTTTCAGGTGTACAGCATGGTGCTTATATTCAGTGCCCACCTGGCATCATACATAGTTATTAGCATGTTATTAACTATATTTTCTATGCCGTACTTTATGTTCCCGTGACTATTTTGAAATTACCAATCTGTACTTCTCAATCCCTTTACCTTTTTCAACTGGTCTCCCAGCCTCCACCCCTCTGGCAACCATCAGTCTGCTCTCTTGTATCTATGAGTTGGTTTCTGTTTCCTTTGTTTGTTTATATTATTCGTTAGACTCCACAAATAAGTGAAATTATATGATATTTGTCTTTCTCTGACTGACTAATTTCACTAACCATAATATCCTCTAGGTCCATCCAGAAAACCAGAAAGCAGCTTTCTTTCATATATATATATATATATATATATATATATATATATATATATATATATATATACCTTTATTGTTCATATCATTACAAAAGTTCCTCATTTTTTTTCCCCTCCACCAGGTTCCTACCCCACCCTCTGGCCTTTCCCCACCTCCCCCTGTCCTCATCCATAGGTGCACAGTTTATTTTCATTCTCTTCCTGCACCTCCCACTCCTCTTTTCCCTGAGGATCATCAGTCCACTCCCCTTCCATACCTCTGACTCTATTATATTCAACAGTTAATATTGTTCATCAGATTTTTTAATTCCCTTGTGGTTTTTGTGTGTGTGTGTGTGTGTGTGTGTGTGTGTGTGTGTGTGTGTTTTATTGGCTTCCAAAGAGGAGTTTAAGGTCAAAAGGAGTTTCGGGTGTGCCCAGATCCTATTCATCAAAATCTGGGTAAGCTCCTTATTTTTTGGTACAACCTCTGGGTGAGTACAGGTCCTATTTGTTCCTCATTCCAAGCACATGGATTAAGAAAGCAGTACTGATAAGAGGATTCTGCTAGTGCCCTCAGTCTCAGCTGATAAGAATTAAAAGAATGTCCATGTGCCTTCTCAGGCGGCTCTCTACATCTCACCCTTTTTTACTAATTAAAATAAAATTTAAACATCAATAATAGGGCTCTAAAATTAAAAACAATTGCAAACAATGCCAATGCAAAAACTAAACCACATACATGTTATTTTCAAAACTTGAATGTCAAGAGCAAAACTCTGGCTATTAAATAATAACAACAATGCCAATGCAAAATCTTTTTTTTTTTATTTAATATAGAACGCTTCAGAAATTTTAGTGTCATCCTTGCGCAGGGGCCATGCTAATATTCTCTGTATCGTTCCATTTTTAGTATATGTGCTGCCGAAGCGAGCACTGAAAAGCAGCTTTCTTGAAAGGACACAGGTTGGCCCAAGCCTCCCCCTACCCTCACACCAGAGCTCTCCTGCCATCTAGTGCCCAATGGCAGCAAATGCCTAACTTCCAATGTCAGGGCCCCTTTCTATTTGTCCCCCGACTTATCAGTCTCCTTTTCTTTTTTTTTCTTTTTTTCTTTTTTTTTTTTTTAAATATATTTTATTGATTTTGTATAGAGAGGAAGGGAGAGAGATAGAGAGTTAGAAACACCGATGAGAGAGAGTCATCGATCAGCTGCCTCCTGCACACCCCCTACTGGGGATATGCCTGCAACCAAGGTACATGCCCTTGACCGGAATCGAACCCGGGACCTTTTAGTCTCCAAGCCGACGCTCTATCCATTGAGCCAAACCGGTCCCGGCTATCAGTCTCCTTTTCTTTTTTCTTTTTCTTTTTTAATATATTTTATTGATTTTTTACAGAAAGGAAGAGAGAGGGATAGAGAACTAGAAACATCGATGAGAGAGAATCATCCATCAGCTGCCTCCCCTACACACACATACACACCCCTCCCTGGGGATGTGCCCGCAACCAAGGTACATGCCCTTGACCAGAATCGAACCTGGGACCCTTCAGTCCACAGGCCGACGCTCTATCCACTGAGCAAAACCGGTCAGGGCATCAGTCTCCTTTTCTAATCCAGGATCCAACCAGCAGAATCACTTGGTGTCCCCAAAGCTTCAAGCTATTTCACATTCTGTTTTGTTCACAGCCGTTCCCTATGCCTGGCATGGCATTCTCTTCACCTCCTATGTGCCAGGCAAACAGCTCTAAGAAAACTTTCCTGAGGCACCTGAGCCCCTCACCTCCTGCTTGCCAGCCTGGACCATCCCCTAGAGCACATCTCCTCTATTGCCTTTGTCTGCCCCCTTTGCCTTCATTGATGCTCCTCTGTGGGCCCTTACCCCTACCTAGCACAGTGCCTCACGGCTAGCAAGGGCCCAATACGTGTTGAACAAGTGGAATGCATAGGATAGGGAAGTTGGGGGTAGAAGGTGGGGCATTCCAGAGAGAACTGTTCCAGGAGCTCAGAGACGGCTTGCTGTTGCTGGTATGTAAATGTTCCATCATCAATGGAATATCTGTAGCCTCTGCATTGCCTTGAATCTGGTAATCTATACATATGAAAGGCTAATATGCTAAGCATCCCTCCTACCATCCAATCAGTCACTATGATGTACACTGACCACCAGGGGGCAGACGTTCAAACAGGAGCTGCCGAACTGCAGTGACATGGCAACAACAGTTCTCAGTGACACACCCCAAAACCAGAGAGAAGGGAACCTGATTCTTTACGCGGCTGTGCGATTCCACCTTGGGCTGTGAGCCATGCTGTTGTGGGGCACTGTCCTCCAGGAATCTGGTTTACTGCACACTTGCATTTGCGTTCCACACCCTGTACGACAGCAACTTTGTGGAGTGCCCTCTCGCACTCCGGGACCCCTCAGGGAATGTCAGAGAGCAGGGTTGGGCCTAATCCCCAAAGACCAGGCAGAAGGACCCCACCTGCCAGAGGGACTCCGCTCATTTCGCAGGCACCTAGGAAGGACTGCAGGAGGTTGGCTCCAGGACATGTCTGGCCCTTGTCACCCAGTCCTGCTCCGCTGGCCACCTTCTAATTAATTTCCTTTCAATGTTCACGAATCCATGCACCGAGTCACTAGTGTGCAGGTCCGGGCGCGGAGTCCATAAACATACATCTACCAACAATCTAACAATTCCACTTTGAGATATTTACCAACAGTAATGGAAATCTATGTCTACAAAAGACTCGAGAATGTTCAGTCACCGCTTTATTCCTAACAGCTAATATCTGGAAAAGACACGAATGTCAACAGGGGAATGGGAAAATAAATTGTGCTATGTCCATTGCACATTCCAGTGAACAGGAATCAATGCCAGGGCTGGATCTCAAAAGCTTATGCTAGGTGAAGTTAGAAAGAAAGAAAAAGAGTGCACAGAGACAGGCAAAAGTAGAATTACCGTTTCGATAGTTTATTCTTGTATTACTATGTATTAATGATTGTGTTATTTTCCATACCAAACAACCATAAACCTACTCTTGCCCACCCTATATATAAAATTTCAGAAGGGGAAAATGTAACTTTCTAGCGACAGAAAGCAGATCAGCTGTTACCTGGGCTAAGGGAGAGAGGGAATAAGGGGAGAGAGGGCAGAGACTAGGAAAGAGCTGGTTTGTTAACATTCATCCAGCTGTACACCTGAGATCTAAGCATTTTTCTGTACGTTCGTTGTACGTATTGAATGTGTGTTGAGAGGTGGAAGAGGAGAAGGGAGGGGAGAAAGAAAGGCAGTGGCGGTGCCAGGGGCAAGATCAAGTGAATGAGCCATGGGTTCCCGAGGCGGCTAGGGCAGGGCGCTCCCCGCCCACACCGGGAGTTGGTGGGGAAGGGGAACAGGCGGGGAGGAGGGAACAGGCGGGGAGGAGGGAACAGGCGGGGAGGAGGGAGCAGGCGGGGAGGAGGGAACAGGCGGGGAGGAGGGAGCGGGCGGGGAAGACGGGAGCGCGCGGAGGCGGAGGGACGGGAGAAGCGCGCGGCGTGCAGTTGCTCCTCTCGGCCGCCAGGGGGCGGCGTGGGCGGGAAGGGCGGCCGCCGTGACCCGGGAGCGGCGGCGAGGGGGCGGGTCCGGGCGCGGAGTCCATGTGGGCGCCGGCGCGGCACGGTGCAGCGCGGGGTCGCCATGGCGGACGTGCAGCAGCTTCGGGTGCAGGAGGCGGTGGACACCATGGTGAAGAGTCTGGAGAGAGAGAACATCCGGAAGATGCAGGTAGCGGGCGGGAGCCGATTCGAGGGAAACCCGACATCCCCGGCCCCTTCCCGCGACTCCCGGCCCCTTCCCCGCAGCCGCCCCCTCCCCGCAGAACCCGCCGGGCGCCCCTGGGGTCGCGGTGGCGCCTCGGAAGCAGGCCTTGTCCCCGGGCAGAAACTCTAGCTCTTCGGCCGAGCGGATGAAAGTTGTGCGTCCTCGCCCCAGGCCCAAGGCCGTTTATCAATCACCCCGACCTGCACGGGGGTGACGGGGTCCGGGGCCGGGGTTAGAGGGCCCGGGGGTGAGGTGTGGCCCCGCCACCTCCCCTCCTGCCCGGCCCCTCTGCACGTGCGCCGCCCGAGGCTGAAAGCCACGGCCAAGGTGAAAGGCCGGGAGGCGGGCTGGTCGGCCTCCTCCTTGGCCACGGGCCTTGGTGGAGATGTTGTTCTGCTTTGATCCCCTGATGCCTGGTGGTGTTGGTCCTGCCCCCCTGAGTTTCCCTTGTCATTAGTTAATGGATGGGTTACCCCCTGGTGGCACTTAGTATCCTAGATTGCTGGCCTCTGACCTCTGGGGTATAGGCACCCGGTTTTCAGAATTTGGCTTCATCCGACACACACACCCCCACCCCCTCCGCCACCTCCGTGCCCACCAGCCCTGGAGGCAGCACTTGCCACTGAGATAGAAGCAAGAAGCCTAGGAAACACTGCGAGGCACTGAGGATAATTTTCCCGTTTGTGGTCTTAATGCTCTGATGGCTAGTCTAAGGAGAGATGCACATAGAGACCCTCCCTCTCATCCCTGTTGCACCTCATTGGTTGTCTCTGGCCCTGGGGCTTTCCTACCTGACCTCTCGGCCCTCCCTTCCCAGGGCCTCATGTTCCGGTGCAGCGCGGGCTGCTGTGAGGACAGCCAGGCGTCCATGCAGCAGGTGCACCAGTGCATTGAGCGCTGCCACGCACCTCTGGCCCAAGCCCAGGCCCTGGTTACCAGCGAGCTGGAGAAGTTCCAGGTGAGCAGTATCCCAGACAGGGGACTCTTAGTCCTGGACGTTGCTCTTTTGCAGGTGACAAGCGTTTGTTACAGAACTCTGGGCTGCAGTGTCTTGGTTCTGTTAACATTGGTGACAATGCTGTGGTCAACCAGTCTTCACAGTTTGAAATTTTGGACACAATACTGGAGATGGAGGGCTGTGTTTCCCATAGAAACAATGAGTTACCCAGGCAGTTCGTAACCAAGGGCCCTAAGCTTTTTCTTTTCTGTATATTACCAAATATAATATGTATGTGTGCTATAGAGTACAAATCTTTCTAAAACATATAGAATTTATTCATTCATACAATAGCAGAATCCCTAGGAAAGTGGAATACACTTGTCTTAAAGCATACAGATTAGAGCAGTGGTTGGCAAACTCATTAGTCAACTGACCACTGGATTAGAGCGAGATCCTATCATCATTTTGTGGATTTGCATGCTCTGGGTGTAGCCCCTACTTGCTACACACAGAAGGTAGCCCCCATGTCACTAAGGAGCAGTCATTTAGATGAAGCATTATTATTGTTGACTTCCTGCCTCACAAGCCCCTCTGAGGTCACTAGGAGTCCCCCAAATCCTTGTCTGGAGCAAAGGGTAGCCACAACTTCATTTTACTCCCTTCCTCTGAATATATTTTTCTGAAAGTTGGGGGAAGCAGGGCCTGTTTCTATTCAGTTCTTCATAATCTGGGATTATCTTCTGCTACATAAAATTCTTTAATGTTGCTGATAGGAATAATGTCTTCAAAAAATCATGAAACTCCAGAAGATTTCTGCATTTATTTTGACACCTAGTTTTATAAACAGGGTCTTTGACATTATGACACCTGAATTGCTGTATAACATTTCAGCCCTCTCCAATCAGACTTACTCTTCTGCTGTGCCAGAACTGCTCTTGCCACTCCTCTCCACTGGGCCAAAGGCAGTAGTCATTTCTCATTCCTCATCTCACTCAGCCTGTCTGCATCATTGACACAGCGGATCACTTTGGCCCTTCTGGAAACACTTTATTTAGTTGGCTACCAGGACACTTCACTTTCCTGATTTTCTATCTCTCTCCCTAGCCATCCTTTTATGTCCTCCTTTGCTGGCTTTTCCCCTTTCCAGCCTCTGAACATTGGAGTCCCCAGGGCTGTTCTTGAACCTTTTTTCTATCTGGTTCTCTGGTCTCATGGTTACAATTATCATCTATACGCTGACAACTACATAGCTTTAGACCAGAGGTCGGCAAACTCATGAGTCAACAGAGCAGCAAACCAAGGCTGGCGATCTGCATGTGGCTCATGAGCTGCAGTTTGCCGACCACTGCTTTATACCAACTTCACTCCTGATCTCCAAATTCATATGTCCAACCGTTTCCTCAACATCTTCACTTACTTATTTTGTTGGTTTATCTACCCTTAGTGGAATATAAGCTCTATAATGGCAAGAACTTTATCTGTTTTATTCATTGCTGTATCTCCCCATTAGGAGAGTACCTGACACATAGAAGATAGTCAATAAGTTATTGTTGAGTGTTTTTCTTTAGCAAGGACAGACATTAAATAATCAAGATGTTTGTAAGTCTTGAAATGGAAAAACACTGGTACTAAAGTAATTGAGTAAGTGGTCTCTCATTACTTCTCACTCCCTGGGAGAGGCTTCTGTACAATTTATTCTATCACTCACCTGCTTTCTAGTAATGCTTTGTCTGGGCCCTTCTGGTGCCACTCTCTGTTTCAATCAGGATGATCTTAGTTAATTTCTCTATAGGGTCTCTTTAATCTATCAAGATCATACATGTCAAGCCAAAACACAGCAGGTCTTCCAACAACGTCATTTGTTATAACATTGATAAGAAACCAAAGGAGCTTGACTCCTGTATATAAATTAGCCTGTGGTACATTTGGTATCGTTATACATCATTTTGCCACAGTTCCACGTCAACATTAAGTAAGGATTTAACTGTTTGTAGCACAAGGCCTGGCACGTGATAAGCACTCGGTATATAAAGGCCAACTTCTCAGCCTTCTCTGTTCTCTTCCTTCTTGTCACAGGATCGCCTGGCCCGGTGCACCATGCATTGCAACGACAAAGCCAAAGACTCAATAGATGCGGGGAGTAAAGAGAGTCAGGTGAAGCGGCAGCTGGAGAGTTGTGTGACCAAGTGTGTGGATGACCATATGAACCTCATTCCGACCATGACCAAGAAGATGAAAGAGTCTCTCGCATCCATTCAGAAATAGAAGTCTTTGCCATTGGCCATGGAGGCTGAGGGCAGGAATCTATTTAAAATGAAGAATGCGAATTTTGGTCTTTTAAGCAGTTTAAGGATGAAGAAAATAAGGATGGCAGCAAGTTTAAGGCATGTGTCACTTGCCTCTGGACACCTGTTCTTTTATGTTTTAATCTTAGAAAATGAAATGGGGGAAGAAAAAAAAAACCTGGTGCTAATGTTTGGGTCAGAGAGTTTTTGAGAGCCTACATTTTATGTGGCAAATGCTCATCCTGGCAGCAGGCATTTCCCTCAAACCAAGCCAGAGCCCTCTGAAGTACAAACAAGCTGACAGGGTCCTCTAACCTGCCAGTGGTCTGGAGGAAGATGAGGGGAGGTGTTTCTGTTTGTTGCCAACCTCCTGTTTACCACAAGCATTACCACACCATTTTCCATAAGCTGTGAAACAAAATCCATGCGGTTACTAATTTAGAAGTGGAAAAACAGTTTCTGAGTATTTGGTTTGGGTTGGTTTTATATACAAGGGCATAAAGTTCATTTAAGGTGGGGAGTGGGGAGAGGTAGTTTGGATAAGAACTTAAAAGGGCTCCTTTGGATATCAGTTTCTGTCCAAGATATGAATATGCACTTTAATGCTCACACTTTACGCCTTTCAGCTCAGAAACACTACAAAAACATGAGAGGCATGTCACACTGGGTATGAAAGCAGATCTTCCTTCTCACTGGCTACTGTGATAGGTCCTAAGCCTGTCTACAGCAGAATGACAGGACAATTTGCCATGGTTCTCTACCTTGACGGGAAAGAGGGTTTTGATTGTGCTGTATACCAATATCACGGAATAAACAGTGAGAGGGGAACTGTTGCTGCTTCATTAAGAGTTAGGAAGTACTGGATTTGGGGAAAACCTGGTTTTCAGGAATGAAACCTGAATCCAGTGTTGCCTACTTTGCCCCCTCAAATAACAGAGCCCTAATGAGACAATCTTTTGGCAACAGGAAGGTAAAGGAAGAAAAAAGAGGGGCAGCCCCCCATTACTATATACCACTTTTGCCAGGCCCTTTGCAACATAAAGTGTTCCTACCCCAGCTCTGGAACCTTACTGTTTTGATAAGGAGCTTGTCTTTTTACCAACTTATTACTTGAAATGATAAAATAGCTTGTCTGTCTGCTGTTTCAAGACTGTGATATATTTTCCTAGTGGTCTGGTTTTAAAAAATAAATAAGATTTAATTTTCCTCTACTATTGTGTTTTTTTATATCTGGGCAGTGAATATATAACTTTAAGAATGCTTTTCCTTGTAATGTGTGAAATAAGTTTCTTATGAGGTCCAGAAGAGTGAAAGTTATGTGTTAGTTTTGTACGCAGGACCTGGTCATTGTAAATGGGAAAAATTTCAAGGGCAGATGAAGGCACTTTTACTTGAAGGCCATTAATTTATTAGTAAAAAGATAAAAACTATAAAACTAAAAAAAAAGATTCATTATCTGCTAGTATGTCATGTTTCTAGTTTCAACTAAACACTAACAGCAGGAGGTAGAAAAGATACTCTTGTGGCCCCTTTAGAGAATATGCAATGTCTAGGATTTTGAGTATCAAGAGAATACAAAATATATTAGTTTAACTAAGTCTTTACTATTATTGGCATTTCAATACAGGGGTGGGCAAAAGTAGGTTTACAATTCATATGGAAAACAATAAAATAATAAAGACTGTGTTTTGTGTACTCACAACTATAAATCTATTTTTGCCCACCCCTTTAGAGCCTTTCCTAAATATTAGGGATGAATTTAATTTTAGAGAACCAGCGGTTCTTAGAATCACCAAAGCTTTTCTATTTTGATCCAAGTCTCTAATCCCTATTGTATTTTATTCATTAATATGTATTTCCCTATTTTGGGTAACTTAACTGAGAACAAGTCAGAGACTACTTTTTACACTTATGCTTTTGACTTGATAACCAATACCTCAGAGAGTTTGTGTGTTGTGCTTACTTTTGGCGGGACAGTCCCGATTTGTAACAATTTTTCCCGCGTCCCGCTGCGTTGTAAAAAAGTCCCGACTTTTGGAAAGACTGGATTCTTTCTTTCCAGTAAAAAATCGGGACTGTCCCGCCAAAAGCGAGACGATCTGTTCACCTTACCTTAATGCTTTATGTATGGGATCAAGGTACATTTTACATTTAAGTGGGGATTTGTAGGCAGTGTTACAAGAATAGCAAGAGACCATCCAATTGGGAATCTGCTTCCGGGCTCTGGACTGAAATTATTGAAAATTGAGGCATGTCACCCTACTCTTTGGTGCAGAGTTCACCAAATGCGATGTTAAACCCTAGGCTTCGCAAGACAATATGCTGTGGGAATACATTCCAAAGAATTATCAGGGGTCCGTGAATATAGAGCTTATTTTCATTTGCTATATATTAATAAGATAAACTATGCGATCCACTAAAATTAGGGTTTAATCCGTGTGGTTTAAAAGAGTTGGGACATACATCTCAATCTTACAGAAGAGAAAACGAAATCACGGACTTCGCGAGACCACACCCCTCTGCTTTGGCCAATCGCTGGCGACGCAACCGGAAGCTCGGGACGGATCTACACGCTCAGGCTTCCCCCTTAATATCGCGAGGTGAAATGTGAACGTTGCCGGCCATCGATTGGCTAACGGATCGGTGACGTCAGACGCAAAACGCCGGGCCTACCGCGGGAGCGCCAGAGAGGCCGCGAATTCCGTTTGGAAGTGTCTGTGAGCTCGTTTGGACACCATGAGCAAAGCTCACCCTCCCGAGTTAAAAAAGTAAGTATCTGTGGGGGCCGCGGGCGTCTGGAAGCTTCTTTGTGTGCCCTTCCATTTCCCGTCAGTGCACCTGGCGTGCGCATTCGGGTCCCAGCGGCCAGGTCCCAGTAGGGTCCCACGCTGCCGGGCCTGAAACCGCGCAAAATCGCATTTTTGCTTGCTCGGCGTGGTTACCCAGGGCAGCTTAGGCTCCTGAATTTCCCCGGTTTGACCCAGTCGAAGTCCCTGCCCCATGTCTCCCCCCTCGTTACTTGAAGATCTCGAACCCTTTGTTAGCCATCCTGTACTAGATCCGGTATAGTACTCTGCTGAGATGGGATTTTCTTGTTTAAATCTTCAAAATATGAAATTATTTTGCTAAACTGTAATTATGTATTGAAGAATAAAACAGTATTTTAAACGAAACACCACTTATTGTCTCAAATATAGCTATTGGATTGGCTGTGGTTTGATTTTACAACTTCTAATTTCTCCAAAATTTTGTTTGGTTTTGGAAATAAAATAAAATAAAGTCTTTGTTATTCTATTACGGCTATAAAATCCAGCCATTGAAAATTAGGTCAGTATTGAACGACCAAAATGTTTTTTGTAATTCATATTAGTATAAAGACTCAATTTAATGTACATTAATTTATTATAAACCTATCCCATCTTATTTATTATCTTGCCCCTTCCCAAAATACATTACTTTGTATAAGTACTAAGTAGGGAAGCCCATTACCCACTCATCCTTTACAGAAGTACAGGGTTTTTACTATTTTAAATTTACTTATTCCTATAGTGTAAATATAATTTTAGCAGTTATATAATCTTTATCTATTTGCTTTTTCAGATTTATGGACAAGAAGTTATCATGTAAGTTTTCTTTTTTGTTTTTAATTATTCAGTTGCCCTTTACAAATGTCTTCTTGGCAGTAAACAGTGTTTGCTCCAAAGATTCAAAGCACATAGCCTCTGCTGAATGAAGAAGCAGGTCTAGCAAAATCCTAACTAGACAGTTTTATTTGTCTACTTTTTGCAATTTAATAAATTACACAGCCCTTCAGATTTTTCAAAAGCCCTCCCTCACTCTCACAAAATTAACAGGATTTTCTATTTTGTGATATTTGAAAAATTATCTTTTTTTTTTTTTTTTTAACAACATAGAAAAGTACTAAAGATCTGACCTGCTATTTGAAGTTTGTAGGGTTTAAGATCATGGCTTTAGAGATAGGTAAGCAATTTTCAGTTTGAATCCAAGCCCTACCACATAATATTAATAGTTGTATAACCTTGAACCAGTTACTTTTAAAAGCCTTGTACATTAGTTCCCTCGTAAAAAGTTGGGATAATTCTACAGGATTCTTGTAAGTTTAAATGTGGGAGTAAATGTAAAATGTTTAGCCCAGTGCTTAGCATAGAGTAAGGATAGTGGATTGCACATCTCATATACCTGATGTTTTATTTCTTTAGGAGATGGAGAGAGATAAACGTCAGTGATGAGAGAATCATTAATCTGTTGCCTCCTGCACGATGGAGAGCAAACTCAAAACCAAGCACACGCCCTGACCCAGAATCAAACCAGGACCTCCACGTTCATAGGTGGACGCTCAATCACTGCGCCATATCGTCTGAGCTCCATCTAACTTTTAATGAATATTTGATAGTTAATCGCCAGTTTTATTAAAGCTTCATTTTCCATTTTTTATAGTGAAATTAAATGGTGGCAGACATGTCCAAGGAATATTACGGGGATTTGATCCCTTTATGAATCTTGTGATAGATGAATGTGTGGAGATGGCAACGGGTGGGCAACAGAACAATATTGGAATGGTGGTAAGTAAAGATGTGACATTTCTCTTAAGAGACTTATTTTTCATTTGGAATAAGCATTAATTTCCCTCTATCAAAGTCTTGAACTAAACTGAAGTTTGGCAAATTATAGGCAACATTCGACTTTCCATCTTCCTTTGAGTTTAACACTTGGCAATCATTCAACTGTGATTAATATCCCAGTTACCTTTAAGTTAGATTTTCATCTTACATGGCAGGTTAGATTTGCATTTTACGTAGAACCCTCTGTGGTCCTTGGGCTTGAAATAGCTGTTGGAATTCTTTTTTTTTTTTTTTTTTTTTTCTTTAGCTTTATTTTATAATAGAAACCCATAGTCAATCTTTATTAAGAGAGCAATAGGTCTGCATCTTTTTTTCTTTTTTAATATATTTTATTGAT